TTATATATTTATATAAGATATATAATGAATAAATAAATCACCTTTAACATTTCTTCTATTTGTGAAAAAGTATAAATTATATTGATAGCAAACTTCCAAAATTTTTATTCCAATTCATCTTTCCTATGAATATAGATAGTTTGCTGTTTTATACCTCCAGGAGATCGCCCTTGAGTTTTATTGAGTTTAAATCAACACAAAGAATTAAGAAACAGGTAACAATACAGAAGTTATAATAAATAAAGAAAAATTGGTTATAATTTTGAAAAGCATTGATGTACAGCTTTTGTAACCAGTAAAAACTAAAATTGTAAATTTGCAAAAGCCTTTGCATGAAAGAATTCTGGAGAGATGTAACATCATAGGAGTCCCAAGCTAATAACTGATAACATTATCAAAGGCTAAAGGTAACCTGATTGACTGACAGTGATAATATTTTAAACTGAGGAAAAAACATTCAAATAAGTCAGTAACTGAAATATCAATTTGAACTTGGATTACTCTGATAGTTTAAATTTATTTATAAGTTGCAACAAACAGGTGGTTAAAAGAAAAAATGGATTCCTTAAAGAGAATAGTTACACAGACATGATTAAGTTATATCAGAGCTAAAATTATTAGTGGCCGGTCTGTGGCATAGTAAGTTAAGCATCCACCTGTGGCACCAGATTCCCATATGAGCACCAGTTCAAGTCCCAGCTGCTCCACTTCCAATCCAGTCCCTGCCGATGGCTTGGCAAAGCAGTAGAAGATGGCCTGCACCTGCGAGGGAGACTTGGAAAAATGCACCTGGCTCCTAGCTTCAGATCAGCCCAGCTCCAGCCATTGTGCCCATTTGGGAGTGAACCAGTGGATGGAAGACCTCTCTTTCTGTCTGTAACTTTGCCTCTCAAGTAAATAAGTAAATCTTAAAAAAGGATTACTATTATTTTATCAATTCTCTCTCTAATCCCCAATTGTTTTCATACTTAAAGCAGTTGGACTGGTAGTAATCAGTTTCCTACCGTGTAAAATTACTATCTGCTTCCTAGCTGTTTATTTGTTTGGTTGGTCATTTATTTATTTATCCTGCTTTACGTTCTTTCTCTGATATTTCTGGATCTGTGGTCTGGTGCCTGACACTAATCTGGAAAAATTTCTGTCCTTATTACTTCAAATATTTTTTTTTCCTCCTCTCTTCTGATAATCTCATTAGTTATATTTACAGCTTTTTGTAGTTGTCTTTTACTGTTGATTTTTGTGTTTCTCCCCACTATATGACATTCTGGGAAAGTAAAAACCATGGCGAGTGATCGTTAGAGTAAGGAAGGAAGGAGGGGTGAACAGGCAGAGCACAGATTTTTACAGCAGTGAACCACTCTGTATATTATAATGGGGATACATGTCCTTATGCTTTTGTCCAAACTCATAAGATACATAACTCCAATGGGAAGTCCTAACATAAACTGTAGCATTTGGGTGGTGATATTTCAGTGTAGGTTCATCAACTGTTGTGTGCCACCCTGGTGAGAGTAAGAAACACAGACTGTTGTGCACAGGGGTAGAGAAGAGAACCAAACAACATGATAAAGCGTAAAACAGGTCGTGCTGGGGAAAGGAAGCAAATAGATAAGTATGTTTTGGGATTAGTTTCTTGCTTGTTTTTTAGTTTAAGCAGTAGGAATTGAAAGAACACAGAGTGTCTCTCTTGCCCAGAACAGTTGGAAGTGGGAAAAGTTTTTAAAACATAACCAAGATTATCTTCCTAATCCAATACAAATCATCAGTGGATGTTAGAAATGTTGGTGAGAGATTTTGAAGTAACATGATATTTATGCATTCTCAAAGTATCTCTCCCAGATTATCTATCCATTTCAAAAAATGGATAAACCTGGTTAAAACCCCAGAACCAATGATCAGAGACTATAACAAATAATAGCACAAACTGACATCAGTGCTCAAAATGAGATTCACTGTAAAGGACATAATATCATTTATGTAATATTTTCTATTGAAAAATGCCTAACTAGAATCTACTCATGAGGAACATTGAGACAACTGGCCTTTTCAAAATGTATTAATCATGAAAAACCAGGAAGGCTAAGGAACCATTCCAGATTAAATGACTAAAGAGCCATCACAGCTAAATGCAGTGCCTCATGCTGGATTGGGGCTTTTTAAAAACTCTGTAATGACCGTTATTGGGGAGAAGTGGTAACATTTCAATATAGACTGTAGAATAGTTAATAGTGTTGTATCAATATTAAATTTACTGAATTTGATTACTGCATTTATATGAATACATTGATTCTTTGGGGCTACTTGCTGAACAATTTAGGCATAAAGAGTCATGATACCTTCAGTTTACTGTCAGATGGGTTAGCAATAATCACAATATTAATAAAAATGAATGGATGGGTTGAAAAGGCATGTGCATAAATTGGTGAATCTAAGTAATAGATATATCATGTTCTTTATACTTTTTTGACATGTTTGATTTTTTAAAAAATTTGTAAAACCTCGGTGCATCCTCCAAACCCAAAGAAGGTGTTCATACCAGGTTAAGACAAAGTAGTGCTTGTAGAATGCAAAGGTAGCCTGCATTCTTGGAAATCAAAGCCTATCCTGAAGTACCATAACATTTAGTACCTAGAAGAGTGGGAGCAGTAAGAAAGGATGAAGGCTGTAATAAAAGGACAGCAATTGTTTCAAGCCTTTTTAGAGTCAAACTTAATAGACAGCTTCATTAAGCCTTGAGACAGTTACTGTGGCCCAGACCAGGCCTCTTTATCAGTTGATTCTGACCAAACAACTATGTCCTTATGCGGCCGGTCATCCTGACCCCTACTGACATGACTGCCCACCAAAGTTGCTGGCCAACAGCCATGAAAAAACACGTTTGGACAGATTCCTCACCCATCAATCAAGCTGACTTTTGCCCCACACAACATATTACTCATTGTTCTCATTTTCTCATTAAGATTTCATGTTTTAGGAAAATACTCCAGCAAGCACATTGAACAACAATTTAATTTGCGTTCATAGCATCTTTTCTCTAACTTCTATGTAGAAAGGCACTTTGTATTAGAATTCATACTTTAATCAACTTGAATTTTTTCCGTAGCAAAATATTATGGAAGATTCCACTTTAATAGTTTAATTTAAAAGTATCTTATAGTATACCATCTCTTTGCTAATTGATTGTTGACAGATTGTCAATAGTCAAAACACCAAAACCTAAAATTCATATATGATGGTTTCTTTTGGCAAATTCATCAGGCTCATGGAGGTGTTTAATTTTATGCGTATTGCTGATATTTATAAAAATTTCAGAACAGACTTAGTTGGAAGGCTATTCTGAAATTTCAGTAGATGTTGGAAGGGAAAAAAGAAATCACAGGAAGGTGATTCGGAAGTCACTGTTCTGAGAACTAGACAGTAAATTATTTCCTCTTCCAGAGGCTAATTAATTAGTTCTTATCCACCATACCAGGACCTGAAGCTCTGAAGAGATCACTTCTTTGCAAGAATGTCATTTTTCTTACTGCTTTGATATTATATGTACCAGAACTCTAGTACACACTTCCCTAGGAACCTTTTGACTCCACTAAACAGGCACAAGTACAGTACTTTTCATATACTCAGCGAGGCATGGAGTTTTTAAGACTTTGGGGGAAAGCTTTAAGGAGAATCCTATTTAGAAGTCAGTTTGGGATTTTCCTGGCTGAAGTTCAAATATTTATGTATATGCTATGTATCTTTGACTTATATTCTTTGACCTGCATCTTCTATTCTGTACCTCATCACCTGCCTTCCAATGCTAATAATCACTTTTTTATGGTTGTTTCTGTAGATTTGAATTATTTTTTTAGGTTCCAAATGAGATCGATCACACAAAGTTGTTTTTCTTCTGTTTGGCTTATTTCACTTAGCAAGTTTAATATCCTTAAAGTTTATGCATCTGTGGCAGATCACAAGATCCCCCTTTTTAAGGCTGAATAATATTCCCTTGTGTATATGTAGCATTTAATCCATTTATTCATTGATGAGCAGTTAGATTGTGACTGTATCTTGCTATTGTGATTAACAGTACAATGAAAATGGGAGTATAGATATCTTTTCAGGGTGCTTATTTCGTTTCCTTTAGATAGGTAACAAGAAAAGAATAGATTACAGATTTGTAATTCTGACAAAATCCCAAGCCTATCATGCCTTAATTCTATCTCTCTTAAGCCTTCATTGCTTTAGCATGTGACCTTTAATCCCCCAGCAAGTGTTAGACTTGAAGCACCTTTAGTGTCTCATGGGATCATCAATGATTTTTTGGTCTTGCCTCCCTAACAGTGAAGATCTGTACTAAACCCCACTGCGACTTCATACCACCTTTTGTTCTATAGATAAAGAATTGAAAAATTCGAAAAAGATGCCAAAATGTATTAGCCCAGTATGGGCCTGAGATTCACACCCTCATTTATTTAATCTCTCCCTTGGCTCTTTCCTTTGCCCCTCTTCCTACCTGGTTAACCTAATACCAGTCCATTTTTGTGCAGGTGACCAAGCTGTATATACTGTCTCAACTCAAAGTGTAGTACAAGGAGCACCTGCAACAGCAGCCTCTGGGACAGACACAATGAATTAGAAAATACCTTCTGACAAGGTCCAAATGATTTTATACACTCTTAAAATTTGAAAAGGATTGGTCTATACTAGGCAGATCTCTTCTTACAAACCGAGCTCCAGACTTTTATGTGTTTATCAGGGACTCCAAAATCAAATGTTCAGACAGTTGTAAGGTAAAAAGGACACAAAATTTCCTTCTCTCAAAAACTAACATTCTAACTGAGAAGAGAAGAAATCACTATTATTTGCTTCCTGTCAAAAGCCAGATTGAGAAATTTGTGATTTGAAATGATTTTAAAAAATATAGTGAACATATGTCCTGGCTTGTCCCAGAGAGTCCTGCTTTTACACCTGTTTTATTTCCCTAATTATTAGTAACACTAATGCTTCACTCTAAAAAGTGTGACAAATTATGTTATCTCCCTACTTTTAAGGGACATGCTATCCATACATAATTCTAGATATCCAAGCCCGATTTCTATATCAAATTACATCACTAGAGAGCTATACTCCTGTGTTTACATGTCTACACTCATCATAGATCATCCCCATATGGATACATTATCAGAATTATGATTAAGTAGTTTACTTTTATCAAGGTTTAAAAGAGGAGGAGATGTGCTATTTGGTTATTTGATTGCAAGAAATAAAAACTTACTCATATTTTTTCAAACATTGGTAGAAGATTATTCCATGCATGCATTTACTTAACAGAAAGACTAGAATCATTCAAGTTTTGAGGAACCCACAAAGGGATGACGGCCTAGTCTCATCAATGTACATTGTTAACTGTAGGCAGGATGCAAAACAGCCCATAATGACAGAGGGCATTTGGTGTACCAGTTAAGACACACTTCAGACATCCACATCTCACATCAGAGTTCCTGGATTTGAATCTGAGCTCTGCTGCCATTGCCACCTTCCTGCTTATGTGGCACTCTGTGAGGCAGCAGTTAATGGCTCCAGTACTTGGTCTCTGCCACCATGTGGAAAATTTAAAGGGAGTTCCCTGCTCCCAACTTTAGCCCAGCCCAGCCCTGCTGTTGCAGGTGTTTAGAAAAGTAAACCAACAGAAGGTCTCTCTCTCTTTCTCTCTCTGCCTCTCAAGTAAGTAAATAAATGTTTTTTTAAACCTTCTAAGTTATTTTTAAGAGAAAATATAGTGTGTTTTCTGTAGTCACCCCACCATGCAATAGAAGCACAGAACTTCTTGTTTCTGTCAAACTATAACTTACTACCCATTAGTCAACCTCTTCCTCTTCCCTTCTATCCCATCTCACCCCAGCCTCTGTTAATCACCCTTATACTTTTAACTTCTATGAGATCACCTTTTTTATTAGACCCCACAAGTGGATAGATACTAAGTTGTTTCTAATTTTTGACTGTTGTTAATACTGCTGCAATAAACATGGGAATGCAGATGTCTCTTCAACAGAGTGATTCTGTTCCTCTTGGGCCAGTAATGGGTTAGCTGGGTTACACAATGACCTATTTTTAGTTTTTTGAGGAATTTTATGCCTCACATTTTAAGCCTCCTAAAATATTCTTTAGAATTAACATATTACTTTTTCTTGTATCTTATGATGTATAGATTTGAGCCAATTAAATTTTAAGAAAACCACAAGAACTAATAATTATACTTCCAAATAGCCATCAAAATCAGTATACCAAATTGTATTCAAAACTCAAACTTAATAATATCTAATTTCACATACATTGAAGATAAAAATATTGCCATTAAACAATAGAAAAATCTCATGTAATGTTAGTCTAATTCTGTATAAAAACCATAGTGCCTTTTAAAATTGTCTTTATTTTTCAAGCTAATTACAGAAAAACATTAGGTACACAGATGTTCCCCTGGCAACCAGTAGCTCTAAGGAGTAGTAAAAGAGGCCGGCGCTGCGGCTCACTAGGCTAATCCTCCGCCTAGCGGCGCCGGCACACCGGGTTCTAGTCCCGGTCGGGGCGCCGGATTCTGTCCCGGTTGCCCCTCTTCCAGGCCAGCTCTCTGCTGTGGCCCGGGAGTGCAGTGGAGGATGGCCCAAGTGCTTGGGCCCTGCACCCCATGGGAGACCAGGAAAAGCACCTGGCTCCTGGCTCCTGCCATCGGATTAGCGCGGTGCGCCGGCCGCAGCACGCTGGCCGCAGCGGCCATTGGAGGGTGAACCAACGGCAAAGGAAGACCTTTCTCTCTGTCTCTCTCTCTCACTGTCCACTCTGCCTGTCAAAAAAAAAAAAAGGAGTAGTAAAAGATATTATAACTGAAAGAATAAGAACAAATAAAGGGAAAATGCATTATTATTTTTTTATTTAGGAAAAAATTAAAAGCTTCTGAATTATTAATACTACTGTTAATATAGGAGAAAACAATTTTAGTATGATTTTTGATAAGAATTATTGAAGTTTATATTATGCAATGGTTTATTTAATTCAGATGAAATAATATTTAATTATACGATTTGCCAATCCTCATTTTTAGGATGACTATGAGCTGAAAGTAATATTTTTTGAAAATTTCTATTTATATAAAAGGAACAAATGTCAGGTATTTCATATATATACTTTTAAGGACATAATGATACTTCCCACCCTACCTTCCTTTTCTCCCTTGCTCCTACCTCCCTCCTTCCTTTCTTATTTTTCTCTTAATTTTTGCAGTGACATGCCTTCAGTTTACTTTATAATCACAAGCTTAACCCGCCACTAAATAAAGAATTCAACAAGTAGTAACTAGGAAAACCACTATTCCTCAGGAGTATAGACAAAGGCTGTAAATAATAAAATCTCAAAATATTGTATTGTAAAATTTACTGTTCAAATGTTAGTAGGTTCAAATTTTATTTCTATTAGCAAATAAAAACATTTGAAATTTGTGTACTTCAGATGTATGTTTACATTCAAAATAACATTTGGGGAAGCACAAAATGTTTGGATGAGGGTACTTCAAAAATTTCATGAAAAATGGAATTTAAAGGTAAGCTTATTTTGTTGCAAAATATTTTGAAATCTATTTGTACACAGGATCTTCAAAAATTCATGGAGAATGTGCATCATAAATAAACTGTATGTGGTCTCCAATTTTTTGCACCACAATAAACTTATCTTTTTTATATTCCAACCTTGTATTTTCTTTTTAAGATTTATTTATTTATTTGAAAAGCAGGTTTATAGAGGGAGACAGAGTAAAAGAGTTCTTGTATCCACTGGTTCACTTCCAAAATGGCCACAACGTCCAGGGCTGGACCAAGCCAAAGGCAGGAACCAGGAGCTTCATTCCATTCTCCCACATGGGTACAAGGTCCCAATTTGGGCCATCTTCCGCTGCTTTCCCAGGCATGTTAGCAAGGGAGCTGCAATGGAATGAAGCTGCCAGAACACGTACTGCCGCTCTTACGGGATGCTAGCATCACAAGTGGTGACTTAACCTGCTGTACCACAATACCATCTTTTAGTGAACTTTTTGAAATACTTTTCATAAATGAAGAAGAGGCACATTTCCCATGGAAGAGAATATCAAGTAATATATGTGGATATTCTACCCTCAAGGAAATGGAACATAATTCCCATTGCTAGGTGCTAGCTACATATTGTGACTTTTGTTCAAAGAGTGAAGAAACCTGACAAACACTAAATCAAGGTCAGCATTGATAATGAAAAGTCTTATTGATAATATGTATCTTTGGTATAATGTGAGGAATATAGCACCTTGCTCCTGTGGTCTTTCAAAAACCCTAACTCCAGTCTGTTTATGAGAAAAACATCTGACAAATGCCAATGGAGGAGTACTCTACAAAATACTTGATCATTGCTGCTCAAAGCTGTCAAGATCATTCAGACAAGGCAAGTCTAAGAAGCCATCAGAGCCAGGGGGGCTTAAATGTAATGTGGTATCTTGGAGGCATTCTAGAACTGGAAAAGAGTATCAAGTTAAAACTAAGGATATCTGATTAAAATGTGAACTTTAATTAATGTCTTTTAATATTTTTTTTGAATTTTTAACTGACATCTTAAAATATTACTTATTCATAGGTTATAGTTGACAAATTTTGATGCACATATAAAATATCCAGATCAGCATAATTGGCATCTCTGTCACCTAAAACATTTATTACTTCTTTGTGTTAAGACCATTCTAAGTTACCACTACTTGCTGTTTTGTAATGTGCAAATAATCTTTGTCAACAATAGCTTTCCCATTGTGCTATAGAACATTAGAAATTGTACTTCCTTTAAATCTCAAACTATGTGTGTTATCAGATACAGTGAACTTAATAGAATGATGATAGAGGCCATGAGGAAATGCTTCAAATTACAGATCTCAACCAAACCTGGTGGAACACAATTCTCCAAAAGATCATCAACTGAGAAACAAAATCAACAACCCTCAGTGTGATTCTTTCTTGTTTGGCACAAAAGAAGAACACAAAAAATAAAAGACCCGAAGAATCACAATGAAAAACTATTTGTAGAAAGCAAAATTGCAAAGATTATAAGTTCTGATTTTTCTGGCAATGGCTGATTCTCAGGATGGTAGAGGTAAAGGACTAAAGGTTGTAAATCACACACAGACACACACACACACATGCAAGTTTGTGAGACACAGATTTTTGCTGCCTTAAAGCACAAGCATGAATCCAGTCCAACTTGTTCTTTGAACACTTGGTCTAGGAGATACTAGATGGATGAAATTTTAAAAGGATTAGGAAGTAGATAATCTGCATGGGTTCTATACTAAGGGAGAGATCTTTTCTTGAAGGTTACTCAAGAAGTTAGATTAAACAAAGCCATGCTTTCACTGTTACCCTTTTCTGCTAATTCAAAAAAATTTGAGCTCAGTAAGAAAAAGAATATAGGTGTCAGCACTGTGGCATAGCAGGTAAAGCTGCCACCTGCAGTGCTGGCATCCCATATGGGCAACTGTTCAAGTCCCAGCAGCTCTACTTCTGATCCAGCTCTCTGCCATGGCCTGGGAAAGCAGTAGAAGATGGCCCAAGTCCTTGGGCCCCTGCACCCATGTGGGAGACCTGGAGGAAGCTCCTGGCTCCTGGCTTCAGATCAGCTCAGCTCCAGCAGTTGTAGCAATCTGGGGAGCGAACCAGTGGATGGAAGACCTGTGTGTGTGTGTGTGTGCTTCTGCCTCTGCCTCTGCCTCTCTCTAACTCTGACTTTCAAATAAATAATAAATCTTTAAAAAAAAAAAAAAAGAAGAATAGAGGCTTTTAAAAAGATTCTTGGCTCTTTATCCAGTCTTTCATTTGTTTTTACCACATGTATTTTGACAGCAATTTCTTCTGTTGAATTTCCTTTATTAAGCCTTTCACAAAGGCATTCAACTTCAGAAACATCTTATCCTTTTGTATTCGTATTTCATTGGTTATTTTACAATAACATAATTGTCATTAAGAAGTCTAGAAATAGGCAAAATTGATTCAGTAATCAAAGTTCAGCTGGGAGGCACGGAAACATGTAAGTGAACTAGAATGTAATTTGCTAAGTACAAGAATTCGGTATACTGTGGGTAAATGTTTTAGGGAAAAAAATAGATGATAGTGATTATAGATGGCTTTGTTAGCTGAATGTTAAGAGAAATTATGTTGAGTATGAAGCGACACCATTACTGTGTTCCTGTTGCCTTGGAATTTTTCTCTAGGATATATAGTTTTAGATGCAGTATTTACATATTATTTTTATTCAAAAAAGTGTTTAGTGAACTCCTATATTCATCAAGCATGGAAATAAGTGATAATAAATATTTCATCACTATTTACTGACATTAAACAATATTAATGTGGTGTTACTGATAATTTTATTTATGCATGCCTAATAACCTATAACAATGGAGAAGATTTAAATGAAATGATTGTTTTATAGATTTGCTTTGTGAATGCCCTTAGAAAGAACTTTTCAGACACCTAATGTTGTGTTAGATTGATGCCATGTTTTTCATGGGAGATGTTTGATAAGGAAAAATACTATCAAGTTCATTATTGTTGTTTTTATCTTGAAGCTACCAGAAAAACTTATAATGGAATACTACGAGAAGTATAAGCCTAGAATGAATGAACTGGAAGCTTTTAATATGGTAAATCTCAAAATTAAACATATTAAATTGGATACATTGCTAGACTTCAATAGGGTCTTATTAAATTTTATTATGGAGCCAGCCAATCTGTATTGTTCTTTTTTTTCTTTCTGTAGAAAGACTGTTTTGGATCAGTTCCTATTTCAGAGCTGTATTAGGTGTCAGTAATGTAATAAAGACAACACATGGTGCATTTCTCTTAGAGTGTGTTATAAATGCATGGAATGAAGTTTCAGAATCCTTTGAACACGTATTGGTCTCAATGGCAGTTATTTCACAAGCATTCCTTTAATGAATTTCATTCCTAGTCCCCTTTTAAAAAACTTTCTACCACATATGATTGCTTGTTGGATTCTACTCCAAAGTCACTTAGAGGCCATTCTTTTCCTGTCACTATTAAAAACTATCTCTTCAGTGTTCTTTTTCTGAAGATGCACAGTGGGTATTAGAAATCTGATCTATAAAAACTTATGTGGATATATTTTCCTAAACATGAGTGTTAAAGAAATAAGCTGGTCTCTTTTTTCTTTTTCTTTCTCTTTTTTTTTTTTTGTTTGTTTGTTTGTTTTTAAGTAGCACCACTCTATATTATTCTTCTTTTAGCTGAAAGTTGTTCTGGCTCCTTGTATAGAGACACTGATTCTTCTGGATCGACTTTGCTACCTTAAAGAGCAGGTAAAAAAATTTTTAATGCATAACAAATATCTTTACTAAATACAGTGATCTGAACTTACTTGCTTAAAATAAGGTTATTTTACATAAACTAGTAAGATAATTTTTCTCATGTTTTCATAGTTTAAATATTCATTTTACCTCTTTTAAACATGTAAGCATGTGTATGACAGATGTTTTCAGCAAAGTTGCTATAATAAAGTACACATTCTTTTTAATTGTGTGGCAATTACCATACATAGGCAGTGAACACATGCTACCATATATGACATATTATATAGCAAAAATTAATACCATGCATAAAAGATATTGTGTACATATTACATTTTGTGAGAGTTTCCTTTTTAATTCACTTATGAACTTTTGGATATAATCATTAGCAGTAGAAAAACTTGATTCTGATCAGTGAATATTACTTCTGTTTTAAACATTCTTATTTATCTGAGTGACAAAAACACTGCTTTTGGGTTATATTTAGTGAAAATATTCTTTGCAGATGAGATGTTCAAATCAAACCCATTTGTGGACTCAGCCTAATATTTCAAGTATAAATCCTTTATTTTAATTGTTTTACCATATTGGGAGTTCTGCCTTCTTCTCCTCAATAGTCTGCTAGGGACAAATGGATTTGAATAAATATTGCTTTGTCCTAATTTATATTTTTATGGAGAAAGGCAATTTTTAAATATTGAAATAAACACTTTCTTAAGTGGACTGCTAACTCCAAATAACCTTGATTCCCAAGTTGGTAGATGACAGAATTAATACCTATTTCACAACTTTATTTTTCTTTTTTATTTTAATTTTCATTTTATTTGAAGGCAGAGAGAGAGAGGGAAAACAGAGAGACAGAGAGACAAAGATCTTCAATGTGCTGATTAACTCCCCAAATCCCTAAAATGTCTGGGGCTGGGCCTAGCTGACCAGGAGCTAGAAATTCAATCCAGGTCTCTCAAGTGGGTGACAGGGACTCAACTACTTGAGCTACCATGGCTGCCTGCAGGATGCACATTAGCAGGAAGCTGGAATCAGGAGTGAAGCCAAGACTCAAACCCAAACATTCTAGTATGGAATTATGGGTACCCCAAGCAGCATCTTAAATGCTGAACCAAATGCCTGCCCTTCATTTTCCTATTCAAAACAATTTGTATTAATCTAAGTACAGTAGTTAGGCAAACAGTATTCACAAAGAGTGCTATGTTGTAATGAAACAATAGAATCATATGAGTATTAATTTTAATATTTTAAACATTATAAAGGTAATACATATTTATATTACAATTTGTTAAATACATAGAATATAAGACAGAAAATTGAAAGTAATCAAGATACCATCTTTTGAAATAGCCTGTTAAATTTTTGTTGTATTTCCTAGTGATTCTCTCAAATATATGTGTACACATTATTTGTACCTTCATTAAAATTAAAATCAAATTATAAATGCATTTTTGCATCAAATTTGTTTCCTTTATTTGAAATGTTCTTGGGTTATTGGCAATATCCAATTTTTCATGATCATAGCAAATAAACCTTGTAATTCACTTTCCATGTACATCTCTAATAATTCCTTCAACATAAACTCTTGAAGATAAAATTGTAAATATTAATGTTATTTTGCAAAGAGTAGTTTTACATAATTTTTATGTGGTCATAATTATAGTTTATGACTTGACTTATTTTTCCTTGTGTTCTTCTTCTAATCATTGTATATCTAAAACACCTGTCAATTTGCAGGAAGATATTGCATGGTCTGCACTCGTGAAGTTGTTTGATCCTGTGAAATCTCCCAGATGTTATGCTGTTATTGCTCTGAAGAAGCAGCAGTGATTTCAGTTGAAGCAAATTATTCGATGTATCTGTTGAAACTGTTGCTAAGATTGCATTTCTAAACACGAATGTCCTATGGTGTAAATATTTTTAAATCACTGCTATATATTTTAAATAAACAATGAAATAATGGCTAACAGAAAGTCATATTCCACTTTTTTCATTGCACAAGCATACACTAATCAAATAAGCACCCGTGAAAATATTATGAAAAGGTCGACCTGCATTCCTGAGTTGGTATGTCAATAGGACATTGTAATCTGAGTTGTAATTCTTGTTCAATATTTGAGATTCTTGATATTTGCTACATATAACATTTTCACTTTTAATGAATAAAAGCAGATGAAAGGTACCAGTGTAGATAGAGTTGTAAATTAGTTGTATTTGAAGATTATTTGCATTTTCATTTGGAAGAGTTGTCCACATTACCAGAAGGGAAAAATCTACTTCTAAAGGGAAGAACAACCCAGGAACCAAGCCAGCTATACAAAATGCCTAATATAAAGCACATTTTGTGCTGTTCTTTAATCTAAGTTACTTGTGGCAATATTCTATACTGTTAAAAAAATGAACATCTTGTAAGTGAGCTATTCACTCTAAGGATTCGTGGGACTATTTGTCTTACTGAAACAAGGTGACGGGTTGGCACTTCATGGAATTACCTTATGTTCTCTAAGAAGCAATCCTGAATAAAGAGTGGACAGAATGAAACCAGCATCCTGCTCAGAACGGAGCAAGTTCCTTTCATTAGCAGAAAGCTTGTGGTTTCTAATGCACAAAGAAGAAATGGACAGCTAGAATCAAGTGTCCTTCATGCCAAGCCAAAGAGATTATAAAGTTCTTCAAAGCAGAAAAAGTAACTTTCTTAAATTTTGCAGTCTCCGCATAGATGAGGAGAGTAATTGTTTTGCTGTAGGTTATAGTATTGATACTGAGTTAGCAGGCAGGATGTGTATAAATGAGCAGGTAGTTTGTACAGCAGTAAAATATTAGATAAGATTTCAAAACTATCCAAATATGGAAATCAGAATATAAGAACTCATATGTAGTCATTCACAAACTTAAACAGTAATCAGTATTTTACCAATCTTGAGTCCTGTGTACAAACTTGAAGGTACATAATGCCTACACTCCACCCACACCCATCTCCCCTGGACACTTTTACACAAGCCCCAAGCAGTCTGTTATTTCTCATAAATGCTTCACTATATATGAGTGGATTGCTAAAAGGTAATGAAAAGCTTATACTATCTCTTAATTCACATTATCCTTTTTTTTTTAAGATTTATTTATTTTACTTGAAAGTCACAGTTACACAGAGGAGAGGCAGAGAGAGAGAGAGAGAGAGAGGTCTTCAATCCGCTGGCTCACTCCCCAGATGGCCGCAACAGCCGGAGCTGCGCCAATCCGAAGCCAGGAGCCAGAAGCCTCCTCCGAGTCTCCCACATGGGTGCAGAGGCCCAAGGACCTGGGCCATCCTCTACTGCCCTCCCAGGCCACAGCGGAGAGCTGAATCAGAAGTGGAGCAGCGGCGTCTCAAACCAGCGCCCATATGGGATGCCGGCACCGCAGGCAGCGGCTTTACCCGCTACACCACAGCACCGGCCCCCACGTTATCTTTTAATTGCTGCCCATGTTTAATAGTTAAGAGCTTTTTTCCATAGAACATTGGTGGTTGTCCTCATTCCCATATCTGCAGTTTGTTCTGTTAGTTTGTTCAATTCAGAATCCAAACCAGAGTTACGTATTTACACTTGATATGACTCTGATTATTTTCAAAATAGCAGCCTCCATTTTTAAAAATCTCATGCCTTTTTTATCTTTCTAAAAATAAAATCAGGTCAGGTCATTTATTCTATAGACTATTCTACTTTGAGATTTATCTAATTATGCCTTTGTAGAACCCCTTAATGCATTCACCCATCCCAAATATTTCCTGTAAACGTTTAGATCTAGAATCTTGATTAGATGAGGATATTGTGTGTGTGTTCTATACCTTCTGTTGTATCACATCAGGAGGTGTACCATGAGTGCTGTCCCACAACTAGTGGTACTGAGATTGATCAGCGACTTCATTTGGTTTGAGCCTGACTTACCAAGTATAAAATTTCCATCAACCTTCCTCTTAATGGTTTTAGCAACCACTAACAATGATTGAAAGCAGTAAGAGAGAAAAACACACTATGAGTTGATTTACCATATTCATACTGCTTGCTTGGGAATCCTCTCCAGTTTCAATATGACTGCATTCTTCATTATTTTCTGCTAAATTGCCTTTTTGTTTCCGCATACTGGTACTTTATTTCCTGGTATTGTTTGCTGTATAAGTAGCTGTCTTGAAGGACTAGAAAGCCCTTGCAGCCTACTCTCTCTTCCCTTTCATAACTCTACCTCCTGTTAAAATTTTGAAATTTTTAAGCCCTTCCCTAGTTCTCATATATTCGTGTAATATTTCTTTCTCTTTATAAATGCAGTTTTTAAAACCTCATTTGTAAGACACCAGTTAATAGATAGAACTGAATTACAACTGATTTAATGCAAGGAAACATAGTAATTTCCCTGTGTTTTAAGTGAAATTGTATTAATTAATATTTTCCATTTCTATTAGTCAAATGTATTACAAAAAAATTAATCAAAATGAAACAACCTGCATGATCACACTGAGACAGTGTTTCAGCAAAAAAACAAAATATTTTTAACAAGATAGCAATATTTTTAGCAATATTTAGCAAGATTGCAGCTTTATACACAGTAATCCCATTGCAATGTTTCCAGAACACCATCTTGAAAAAACTGCTCTTTGAGAAATACTTTTTGGTTGGGGCTGTAGTAGGTTAAGCTACCACCTGCTCTGCCGTCATCCCATATGGGTGCCATATGAGCTTCAAAGAGCCTTAGGACCAGAAAGAGATCTATGTCAGGACAGAGCTACCACAGAAAGCCCTGACTAAGGCTTGCTCAGTGGAACTGAGAGTCAGAGCTGCCTTAGAGAGTCACCAGTTAAAGCAATGCCTAGTATAGCTGTGAGAGCAGCGCATCTCCTAAGAGCCTACAACTGAAGAGCCAACTACATGCAGCACCAACCTCGACAAGCCATAGGCATGTAATCCCAATGCATGAGAGCTTTAGTGTGGGCTGGGCCCTTCAGAACTGTGCACACCTGAGGCCTTGAGGGCTCAACCCCTGCCCCACTGTACCCCAGGATATGAAGTTGAAGATTACTCTCAGGGGCCGGCGCTGTAGCACACTAGGTTAATCCTCTGCCTGAAGTGCTGGCATTCCATATGGGCGCCAGTTCTAGTCCCAGTTGCTCCTCTTCCAGTCCAGCTCTCTGCTGTGGCCTGGGAAAGCAGTAGAAGATGGCTCAAGTTGTTGGGCTCCTGTACCAGCATGGGAGACCAGGAAAAAGCACCTGGCCCCTGGCTTTGAATCGGCATAGCTCTGGCCATTTTGGCCATTTGGGGAGTGAACCAACAGAAGGAAGACCTTTTTCTGTCTCTCTCTATCACTGTCTGTAACTCTACCTGTCAAATAAGTAAATAAAATCTTAAAAAAAAGATTACTCTCAAGCCTTTAAACTCATGTCTGCCCTGCTGGATTTCACACCTATTTGGAACTTGTTACTCCTCTGTTTTTCTTTTTTCCTATTTCTCACTTCTAGAATGGAAATGACTATGCTATCCATGTCTCACCATTTTATTTTAGAAGCATATAAACTTGTTTGATGTTTGTTTGAGTCATATAGGGGAAACTTAATCTCCAATAGATCTGTGGATAGGTGTAGCCTCTAGGATGTGGTTAGTTTTTGAGGGCTCCGCCCTCATGAATGGATCAATGCGGCTATGAGGAGGTTTTCAAGAATGAGTTTATTTTCTCTTGCCCTTCCTCCTTCCATCATGTGAAGACACAGTAGGGAGACCCAGATCAGGTGCCAGCACATTGATCTGGGACATTGCTGCCCTCAGAACCATAAAAGAATAAATTTACATTCTTCATAAACTACCCAGTCTCGGCTATAGTATATATAAGCACAAACTAGATGAAGCTATTATGAGAATTAAGTGAATCAATATGTGTTGGGAACTCCTCCAAAATAGCACTTAAAAAAAAAAAAAGTGAAGCTAATTGTACAGGTGGAGCTTGCCTTGAAAGTCATGACCATGTCTGTAAAAGGCAAAATCAGGAAAAAAATATTTACAGGGCTGGTGTGTCTGGGTCAAAAGGAATAGAACAGAGTGGAATTTGAGAAAGTTCATGATGTAATATTTTAGGATTAGTATATACAGCAATTCAAGGGTCTCAAAGCAAGTCTTAAGAAAACTGTCACTGGATAAGTAAGCTCTTTGCAAACGTGAGAAAACTGTTTGAGATAAGTTAGAATACTACAATTTCCTGAAATAAACAATAAAATTATTTATTGGTTTAGAGGCTTATCTTTCCTAGGCAAAGTTTTCCTGTAACAAATAAATCATGTTGACACAGGTGGTTTCAGTTCTTAGACTCAAGAGCTCCATCATGCTGATGTACACGGTTGTAGTTCCTGATGTAAAAAACTTCATTCTTGGCAAATAATGCATAGTATTTATTTTTTAATTTACTTGCAAGACAGATGTAAGAGATAGATAGATAGATAGATAGATAGATAGATAGATAGATAGATAGATATAATAGATGGAATTCCCACTGAAGACTTCAAATGCCCACAACAGCCAGGGTTGAGCCAGGTCAAAGCCAGGGGCCTGAAACTCCATGTAGGTCTCCTCTATGAGAAGCAGGAACCCAAATACTTGAGTCATCACTTGGTGTCTTCTAGGGCATACATTATCAGGAAGCTGGAATCAGGAGGTGAGCCAGGACTCAAATTCAGGCATCTCTGATATGGGAGGTGAGTTCTACAACTGACATCTTAACTCCTGTACCAACACCTGTTCCCCACTGCCCCAGGCATAGTATTTAATAGCTGTATTTGTAAAATGTGCTAGAAGGACAAAGTGGGAAGTTAATCATATTTACAACAGTGATTTTATAGGAAAAATGTGTGCTCTAAATTGTAATCAATTTAAAAATGGATTTTTAATATTCAAAAATCAGAGAAATTGTCCACTTTTCAGAGTAGATTTGACTCCTGGATTAAACACATTACCTTAAATACATTAGTTTTACAGTAAT